AAAAGGGAAATACTGACTGGCCTTCACCTCTTTGAATATTATTTTTGGCCAAGGTTTGCTCTCTGCCAGAAGGACCTCCTGGGTGGGCAAGTGTCATCCTCAGACTGGATGAAAATCCAGACAAGTTATCAATTTTGCAAGTGCTCCATTACCCAGCCCACAACTAACACAAAGCCCACGGAGATTCTCCTGCCAGAGCCAGGAGGATTTCCATTTTCCAGGCAGTTACTGACTGTCTGCACTTGGACTTCCGAAGTATCCCTGCCTTGGCAGCAGGACACTCTGTGATCCCTGCTGAATCCATCAGGAGCTGAAGGGAAGGAGGGTTTCTGCCACAAGGGTCATTCCCAGAGACAGGGTTGGTTTGATCCATGTTTAAAAGTTGATAGCTGAACCTTTCTTTTCTTTTCCTCCACGTCAGGAAAATGGGCAGAGGAAATATGGGGGACCACCACCGGGCTGGGATGGCCCTCCACCAGAGAGGGGCTGTGAGATCTTCATTGGGAAACTGCCCCGAGACCTCTTTGAGGATGAACTCATCCCCCTCTGTGAAAAGGTGAGGCTTGGTGGCAGCTGATCAGTTGCTGATGGTCAGAGCTGCATTTCAGGGCTGAACTGAGCTGATTTAAGACCAGACTGGGCAGGACTTGGAGCACCCTGGTCCATGGAAGGTGTCCCTGCCCATGGAACTTTAAAATTCCAGTCTTTTCTAAACACTCCCACCTTGCCGACAAATCTCTCTCACTTGGCAGATTGGCAAAATCTATGAGATGAGGATGATGATGGACTTCAATGGCAACAACAGGGGCTACGCCTTTGTGACCTTCTCCAATAAACAGGAGGCCAAAAATGCAATAAAGACACTCAATAATTATGAAATCAGGTGAGCAAGGCAAAAACACATTCAAAGAAACTTTAAATCATTTGTATCAGTCTATTTTGGCATGTAAGGGATATTTTTCCTGGCAGTCCAGAGCAAAGTTATTTAGATCCCTGTGTTTTGAGGGGAAATCTCCTCCTGTCTCCCTGTGCAGTCACTGCTCATTAAAACCAACAGGAAATTTGTTGTTCACAATAAACCCATCAACAACACCAAAATCTATCAGAACATTGGGGAAAAAAAATGTTCTGCTTTGGATCAAATTAACTTTCCCCTAACCAGTGCTGTTTATTATGTTCCCCTCAGGTTGTTTGTTGTTGATTTATTCTATTCACAGTCTCCCTCGTGACAGATTGTGCAGATATGTTTTGGTAGATGGAGCAATTGCAAAAAATGGTGAAATAGGATGGAAACCAATTGGCAAATAGTGACATTTCCTAATAGAAAGGAACAGAAAAAGCCCTCATGTTTGAGGGAACAAAACACTCAGAAATCAACAACAGATGGGCCCATTAATACGTGTTGGTTGGATTTCAACCTCACTAAATGTTTTTTGCCAGTTCAAAGTGGGATGAGTTGACGCCTTTGCTTAAAAACCTTTTGGGATAAACCATTCTGGCAGTTGTATGGCTTTTTGAATAAAAAAAGTGATGGGCTGTGAACTGCTTTGAGTGGGTCAAGAAGCATGGAGGCCTTGGAGATGTCCTTTGTAGGAGAGGTTGGAAGGTCTTAGGGATCAGGCTTCATCCACCTCCAGCTCCTCCACTTGCTTCCCTGGTTCCAAGGACTCCTCTAAAGAAGTTTTGCACTTCTCCAGGCCTGTAAGAGATGCTTTGATCCCAAAGAGGTGAACAAAGGAAATTTTCCTTTTGGGGTCTGCACAAAAGTTGGCCCATTGGTGAGTCCTCAAATGGTGCCTCTCCATGAGAAGGAATTTTCTTCCCCCAAAACCTCAGTCATGAGGTGAGTGGGAAGCCACAAGCCAACAACCCAAGGACCTGGGTTGGGGAGGTGCTGTTGCCTGGTGGCAGCAAAAGGAAGAACCTCAAGTAGAAAAAGCAAAATTTGGCTGTGGTTTCTCCCTCAAATCCTTCATTTCAGCTGAAGAGGGGCTTTGCTTTAACCTTCCCCTCTCCTGGCTCCTGACCAAGCATCTCCCTCGTTCCAGGAACGGGAGGCTCCTGGGCGTGTGTGCCAGCGTGGACAACTGCCGCCTGTTCGTGGGGGGCATCCCCAAAACCAAGAAGAGGGAGGAGATCCTGGCAGAGATGAAGAAGGTCACGGACGGCGTCGTGGACGTCATCGTCTACCCCAGCGCGGCCGATAAAACCAAAAACAGGGGCTTTGCCTTCGTGGAGTACGAGAGCCACCGGGCAGCAGCCATGGCCAGGAGGAAGCTGCTCCCAGGTCAGCAGAGGTGGAGAGGGGTGGATTCACCTCAGGGGTGTGGTGGCAACATCTCCAGGGGGTCCAGGAATCCAAGGAAGTGGACCTGGCTGGGTTTTCTGCCCTCAGAGAGAAGTTTTCTGCTAGAGGCACTCAGAGCAGGAGGTTCCACAAAACACCATGGGATGTGGGAGGGTTCACTGTAGCTCCTGTAGTGCTGGTGATCCATGGTTGTCCTTCAGGAGCTTGGGTTTATTGGAAATCCAGCCAAGTGGATTTAGCTGTATGTGTATCCATGCAGCTCTGCTGTGGGATGTGCTCAGTCCTGTGCTTGTCTTGGGTTGAACATAAAATGGAGACTGATCCATGGTTGTCCTTCAGGAGCTTGGGTTTATTGGAAATCCAGCCAAGTGGATTTGGCTCTGTGTGTGTGTATCCATGCAGCTCTGCTTGGTCCTGTGCTTGTCTTGGGTTGAACATAAAATGGAGACTGATCCATGGTTGTCCTTCAGGAGCTTGGGTTTATTGGAAATCCAGCCAGGAAAATGGAGACTGATCCATGGCTGTCCTTCAGGAGCTTGGGTTTATTGGAAATCCAGCCAGGAGGATTTAGCTGTGTGTGTATCCATGCTTGGTCCTGTGCTTGTCTTGGGTCAAACATAAAATAGAGACTCATCCGTGGCCTCTCAGGGAGTGTTGGGTTTTCCAGCTTTTACAGAGACGGGGTAACTGAGAGGCGTTTTAAAATATTTTATTCCATTGTTAGTATTGATAAAAAGTGAGACATAAGAAATATAAAACTTAACACCTTTCCATCAGAAGCTAAATTATTTCCTAGTTGCAATACCTTATAAATAGGTATTGCAGGTAGTAAATAGCTAATTTTAGGTAGTAAATAAATAGGTAATTTTTCAACCTATTAACAGTTGCTACACAATACTGCTAATACTTCTAACACCAATCACCTCTATTTTTACCCCAAATTGTCTTACTACAATACCTCTTTCACAGTTCTAATTCTCTAAAATTTCTAGTATTTTACATATTTTAAAACTTATTACATATTTTAAAACTAGTTTCTAGTTCAGTCTCTCAGCAGTATCGTGTCTATTCCATGACCTTCCAAAGTCAACACACCTTATCTCAGTGTTTGCATACAGACGTACAAAACTGTGTAAACTCTCTATCAAGTTTTTAAAATTCTTTGCAAATCCATTTCTCAAAGGGAGAATCACTCAGGAAAGCATCCAAGAGCAGATTCAGGCTGGAGCATGGACTGGAAGCTGATATTTTGGCAAAAAAAAACTGGAATGAGGAATTGGTTTAGAGTACATCTATGAAATTCAGCACTGGGAGACAGCCAAAGACCATTGTGAAGGAGAGAGAGGCTTAGCAGGTGTTAGATGAAGAAGTCACTCAACATGAAGTGCATTTGCAAGGATTTCACCAATTTTCTCTCGCTTTCTTATGCTCCTGCACTGCTTTGTTGAACTCACTGGCTGCTGAAGGCAATCGACAAACCTTGGAGTTTGAGATTTGTTCAGAACCACCTTCTTTCACCTGTTTTATACATTAAATACCCTACATAATTCAATTCTTTTTCTTATTGTGTAAAGAAATGAGCATGATTTTGAGCACTGAATTTTCTTTTCTACTGGGAGATATGTCACACTGACAATTTTGCCTTTTATTCTGCATTTTCTTCTTCAGTTTAAGCATCTCCATGATGGTGGGAGCACATTTTGTGCTCCAGCATGATTTTCCCATGGTTTTTATAAGGAAAAGGAAGGCAGGGGCAGGCAGAGCACTTGCAATCGTGAGCAAAGACAGCCAGACAGATGGAAGGAATTCAGAGCCCTGAGCAGACATGTGCAATGCGTGAGGGGTTTCCAGCTTAGGGATGTCTCAGTAAACAATTTAGGGAATTCCAAAGGCCTGAGCAGGAGTCAGAGTCTTCTGAAGCCTCAAGCATAAGGCAGGAATTGGAAAAAATTTTCAAGGCAGAGCTGAATGTGTCTCCAGCAGATGTGAGATTGAATATCATTATCAGATGCTTCCTTTAAACTGAACCTCATTGCTTTTTTGAGGGAGCTTTGTAGAGAAAGTGCTCAAAACTTGAGTTTTCATTAAAAAATTTAAATTTTCTCGTGTCTCTGGCTAAGTAAGAGGGTGGAGAAAGACTGATTTTCAGCAAGAGGCACCAAGTTTAGCTCATTGCTGCAAGTCAACCAGTTCATTATTTCCACCCTTGAAGTGAGAACAGCAACTCAGAAAGGGGCACAGAACAGCCTTGCTCTACAAATCCCAGCTCATTTCAGAGGGATTCCAAGGGAACAGCACCTTCCCATGTAGTTTGATTATTTACTCTTCCAATAAGCCTCCAAATTCTGTCCTCACTCTCTCATTTCACAGCTCCCACCCCTTCTTAAATGGGTTGTCCAAGCAGAGATGCCTTTTTAGAGTGTTTGCAGGATTTTCTTTGTCCCCTCAGCTGCCAGTGTGTGGTTTAGGTCACTCAAACAATCACCAGCAAGTTCTGGGCAAAAGCAGGTTTACTATAAATTTGTGACATGGTTTGATGGCAAGGGTCAATCTATTACTTATTATACAGATGAAGCAGACAAAGAAATATCAGATTAAAACAATTAAAGAAATACCAGACAAAGCAATCAGATTACTCTGATTAATATCAGATTTAAATGATTCATGTGGAGACCAGGGAGGCAAAAAGGTGAGGAGGTAAAAAGTGAAGGATTCCAAGGGATGAGTTCCAACAGAATAAACCCCCTTGCCAATATCAGCCTCAGACTGGCTCAACAATTTAGGTCTAAATGGTTTATTATTCATAACAATATCTAATCATGGTTTATCATTCGTAGCAATATCTAATCAACACTAGTAGTTCTTAATAAGTTGACCAATTTGACACCTCTGATACAATTCAATAGAATTTTCTGTAAGTGTAACAGAACGATAAATCTGACTTTACCAAAATTTAATGGCAAATCTGAAATGGCAGCCTTGGTAATACACATGCATGCAGACAGACAGAAATTTGGGCTTCTGGAAATTCCCTTGGAGTTCAGTGAAAGTCTCACATCATCCTTTGAATCTGGAGCTGAGCCTCAAGCAGTGGGGACACCAACCCAACTGCATCATCAGCATTCAGCAGTGTGAATTATTTGCTTTTTTTCTTCCCTGCCCCTCAGCAGCTCAGTCCAGAGTACACAGAGCCCCTGGGTTTATCCTCCACACCCACACTCTGTTTTATGCATCAGGACTTTTTGTGTCCCTCCTTTCTTCTGCTGCAACTTCCCCCAAACAAATTCAAACACACACACACAGACATCCTTGCTTTTGCTGTTTCATTCCATCCCACTGGGACTCCAGGATCCCTGTTCTGCTATCGAGGGAATGAAACTTTGCTGGCCAAAAAGGGATTTTTATAAGTGCATTGAAATATTTCCCTTTAGGGAGTGCTCGAGGAGATGCAGGCCTAAAGTGAATTATTCCACATTTTCACTTCTTTCAGTTCTGGAGGCTCCAAAGGTATTTGCAGGAGGCCATTCTGAGTGTGACCTTTGGAAAGGCAGAGCTGGGAAGGTTTTTTTGGGTCGTGTTTGTAGAATTTGGCCTGTTCTGCTGTAATATAGAGCATGAGCAGGAGCAAGAGGAAGCAAAGCCCCCCAGCACTGACCATGCCTTGTTCCCTTAAAGGAAGGATCCAGCTGTGGGGACACCCCATTGCCGTGGACTGGGCAGAGCCAGAGGTGGAGGTGGATGAGGACACCATGTCCTCAGTGAAGATCCTCTACGTGAGGAACCTCATGCTCTCCACCACCGAGGAGACCATTGAGAAGGAGTTCAACAGCATCAAGCCAGGTAGGTGCTGTGCCTCCTAAACAAATGGAAAAGTTCCTGCCTTCCTAAAATGCCACAAGAGATAAAAATAGCTGGGTTTTTCTCGCTGTGAAATGCCACAAAAATTGTGGTGGGGCTGAAGGCTCCCACCCAAAATGCCATCCCATTAAAGGCTGCTTAATTCCCAGTCACCATGAAGGAGGGTGATTGGAAACTGGAAGGGACCCAAAATGCTGCATGGGGTTGCCCTGTGTCCTCAAAATGCTTTGGAATCTTTTAGTCTTTCTAAATAAGAGTTGGTGATGCAGCTGGATGACTTCAGCATTCTTCTGTGGCAAGGGATGGTGATAAAAATAGAGTGATTTAATACAACTCCTTTTTATCTGATCTGTCTAAATTCTGAACTCATTTTCATACATCCCCCCAGTCCTCTTGTAAATTGGTGAATAATTAGTGCTTTCCATTTAATTTAATATTCCTTTGTGGCATATCTTACATGTACTTAGGGCGAGATTTTTCAAAAAAAGCAGGGAGAATTAGTTGGGAATTAAAAAAAAAATTAGTTGGGAATAAAAATCCTGCTGGCTTTCAAAGGAGATTTTACTTCTGAGTTGCTCCAGCTTTAGGAAATTCCACCCAAAACCAACAAAGTAAAAATAACCCTTTTCTGCAGCTCTGCAAGCCACACAGTCCATTAGGCATTAGGAACTGATGCTTGGCAATGGGAAATCTCCTTTCATCTCACTCCTCTTAGCTTCCTTCTATTAATTTTTTAAAATACGCTGCAGAGCTTCAGTTTTCTTCCTCTAACTTCTTCATTTCATGCCTTTTTCTGGACTAGGCAGCAATGCAAAGGGATTAATGAGTTTTCCTTGTGTCCTTCCAGCATTTCTGGCTCGTACTTTTAGCCACCATCGAGCTGTTGCAGAACCCATTTTCCTCCTGAGTTAAATTTATGTTCTCCCCCTCTCTGAACTGCTTCCTTCTTTTATTTACCCAGTTTTGCTCCCAAGTTTTGAACAAGCTCACACTCCCCAGAAACACATTTGTGGCCTTTTGACACTTTGGTAACAGTCATCTGCTTTGCTCCTAAGAAGTTTTCCACTATAACAACACAAGTTCTGCATCATCTTTCATCTTCCTTTTATCATCTCAGCATTCACATTGGAATTTTATTATTTTTAAAGGACAGCTTTGATTTTGGTGGCTAAAATCAGGAATGGGTGCATTAGAGCAGCAGAACTTCCAGCTTTGGAGAGAGAAAATGCAGTTTAAGTTACAGAGAGATGAAAAAAGGCAGCAAGGATGTGAAATGATTCATTGCCCTGCCATGGTTCTCTGCCTCACTCATTGAGCCACATTTCAGCACTACTTAGCTGAAATTACCTTGGATCCAGGGCATTAGGAAGCTGTTTTGACATCAACAAATCATGCAATAAAAAATGATCCAGACATTCCAATGACACAGCAATTGTCACATCTCTGAGGGCTCCACAGGCAGCACCAGGAATGCTAAGTTGGGACACAGCACAAGTAGCACCCCTTAAATTTGTGCCAAATTCACAGCCTGATGACTTTTGCAGAGCTGTCTCTTTGAAAAGCCCTGCCCTTGCTCCCTGGGAATCCCAAGGAAATTCCTCCTTGGGTATCACATTGCTTGGCCCAGCAGAGGCAGAAGCAGGGGAGAGCAGAATTTTTGGCTCCAGGGTTGGTGTCCTGGAATGCTCTCCAGCAGGCAGAAGGGGGATATTCAAAACACAGTGAGTTCATTAAAGCTTCCACTTCTAAACAAAGCATCAGCATATAACTCCCATAAATTCAGGCTTGGAAAATCATCCTCTGTCCCAGAAGGACACAAAGTGCTACTTTACCATCCCTGTGTCATTCCAAGACATGCAGCCTGCTTGGGCTGTGGGCTGGGACAGGCTCATTTAGCCCTCTGCAGCTCCTAAGGACTCCCCTGAACACCAAAGAAATTTGTTTCCTCCTGCATTTTTCTAAGTGCATGCTTTTTGTGGCAATATGACATTTCCCTGTGCACCTGTTCAGCTTTAAGAGATAAGAAGCCAACAGAAGAGTTGTTCAGTATCCCTTAGCCATGTATCCAGAGGATATTTCTGGGGGTTTTACAGGAGGCTGGGCTGGCTGATGCTGTGCTTCCCAAGCCACAGGAGCAGAGAAGATGAGGAATTAAAGAAATGGCTGAAGGCTGTGGCCATGGGGAGCAGGACTGGTAGGGTTATTTTGGAGACAGACTCCTCAGTGCAGAGTATGAGTTCCTGGCATCAGAGCAGCTGAGAGGGGAAAGAGAAAACTGTGGGGGATGGACTTAGAAAAGAACAAGAAGTCATTTGCATATGAATTACTTTGGATAAATTGGATGTAAGAAAGATTCAGGCTGGAAGAAAGAGTCTCCAGCCCCATCCTCAGCTGCAGAGCCTGGCTGGGGCCATGTCCAGGTGAATTGGGGCATCCAGGGAAGCCCCACTGCCATGGGAAAAGCTGTTTCCTAGGGAGAGGCTTTTTCTTAGGGAGATACCTGCTGCCCCATCAGCCCCACCCCATCCCAGTGCCCAGGGCTGGCTGTTCATTCTTCCTGAACATCCTGAGCTGGTCGTCAAGGAGAAAAACCTCCTTGTTTTATGAAAAAAGCTGCCTCCAATGCACATACAAAATCAGGGAGATGGGGATCACAAGGTGATGTTCCCACAGCTGGTGCGTGGTCAGTCACAGAAGGGAGACACAAGACCAAAGGTAGTGTTCAACAGAATGGTTTGGACAGGAGAAAACCACTCCAGTTTAATGGGAATCTTACTGGTGTCTGACCCCAAACCCTTCTAGTTTGCCTTGAATTGCTACAACCATTATATATTGATTTTCCTCTGGAATATGCATCCAAAGAGGTGAGGGGACACTGACCTCTTGTTCTTCCACCCTTGCTCAGCCTTTGCTCTCCAGGGGCTCATAACCTGACAGAACCACTGTTTCAGATCTCTGCTTTCTGACTAATCCCCACTTCCCACTAATATTCCAATGTTTTCCACAGGTGCAGTGGAGAGAGTAAAGAAAATTAGAGACTACGCCTTTGTGCACTTTAATAAAAGAGAACACGCAGTGGAGGCCATGAAAGCCTTGAATGGGAAGGTAAAATCTGCCGTAAATGTTAATTCCTGGAGCTTACAGTGCAGTATATTACACAAAGCCACCTGCTTTATTAGCTCCAAAAACCTCCTGGAGGTGTTATCCCAATTTGCTCTTTGCTGGTTGCTTTTATACTCCTGAACTTGTTTTTTAGCAGCTCTGTTGTACACAAACGATTCATTTTGGCTCCTTGGATTTGTGCTAAGTGTTTGCCCGGCTCCAGCTCACTGCTCAGATGAAAAAAAAAAAAAAAACAGGAAAAGCTGAAAGAAGAACTAGGAAAGGAGGGGTGAGGATCCCCCCCTGGCTCTCACTCACATCCTTGTTCCAGACTGCCAACAAAAACACTGGCAGGGCAGCGTGTGAATGGCAAAGTGGGACAAACGAGGTCAGCCCAAACATCTGCTCCGAGTTCAGATGCGGATTTGTGAGGAGGCTGCTGAATTTAGCCCTTCTTGCACTGCATGTAATTCACTCTAAAGCCAGAGCTGTTCCCAAAGAGGTGTTAACCCCGCTCCTATTTTTAGTGCCATGCTGTTCTCCACGGGAGCACGTGGAATCTCGCTGCCTTATGAGCTGCTTTGCAGGGAAGTGAAGCCTTTTAAAGGCTTTGCTGAAGGAGCCTCTCCCAGCTGGAACCAGGGCTGGGCACTCTCAGGTTAAGTTTTCACCCATGTGAAGGAGATCCAGGGCTTTTTTGGGGTGATTTCCTCCACCTTCCCATCCCATTAGGACATAGAGGCAGCTCTCCCATAGGTTGGATTTCCATCAAGCACTTTTAGCCACTTCCCCTGCTGCCTTAAACAGCTGGAACAGAGGCTAGACAGAGTTAAGGGGAAGGATATTTATATTTAATAAAAGGATATTTATTGCAGGGCCTTCAAAGGCCACACCCTGGCAGTACCAGAGCCATGGCTTTGCTCTGCCCAGATGGCTCCAAGATGGAAGCAAAAGAGCACTTGGTCGCAAGATCTCACATTTTTATAAGTTTTGGTCCATTAGCATATTGGAGCTAATTGTCCAATTACACCCCCAGCCCACAAAGTCCCATCTTTCTTATTTTCTGTGTTCAGTCCACATTGTTTATACTCCTGGGCCTGAGATCCACATCTGGCTGTCCTTGGTCCCCAGCTAGAGAAGACATTGTTGTGTCTACCAACTCTGTGAAGAGACCTCACCATCCCCCTATATGAAACCCAGACCCACACACCCAAGCAGCACAGAGTCAAAAAGAAAGAAAAAGAAATCTAAACCCCAAGATATCATTTCCACCCTGTGTTTATCCCCTCTCAGGTGCTGGATGGCTCCCCCATCGAGGTGACCTTGGCCAAGCCGGTGGACAAGGACAGCTACGTGAGGTACACACGTGGCACAGGTGGCAGGGCCCCGGTGCTGCAGGGGGACTACACCTACACCCTGGGCCACCTGTACGACCCCGCCACCGCCTACCTGGGCGCCCCGGTCTTCTACGCACCGCAGGCCTACGCGGCCATCCCCAACCTGCACTTCCCCGCCGCCAAGGGGCTCAGCGGCAGGAGCATCCTCCGGCCCCCCTCCATCAGAGGTAATTCCCGCTTGGAGTTTTGGATAAATGAAAACCCCCCCCTTGTGCCCAGTGTCTCCTCCAGGGTCGGGAAGCTGCTCCCCAGACAGGTGGTGGTGACATTGGCTTTGCCCCAGCTCCTGGATGCTGTTTTCTCTGGTGGAAAACGCAGGGTTTAGGCTCTTGTCTTTCCCAAAGACTGAAAAAAATAACTGTTTTCCTGGAAGGATTTTCTAGGTTGCCCTCAGTCCAGTGTAAATAACTCACAGATCCTCCTGGTTTTGCCCCAGCAGGAAAGACCAAATAAAACACTTTTCCCTTCCCCCTCCCACAGCCAGCCACCACCACCACTATCTTTCCTCTTGTCTGTGATGGTGTTTACAGGGGTTTTTGGATGAGGGAAGAGACGACAAACTGAAGGTTTTGTTTCAGAAGGCTTGATTTATTATTTTATGATATATATTATATTAAAACTATACTAAAAGAATAGGAGAAAAGATTTCATCAAAAAGCTAGCTAAGAATAGAATAAGAAAGAATAATAACAAAAACTTCTGTCTTAGACAGAGAGTCCGAGCCAGCTGACTGTGATTGGCCATTAATTATAAACAACTCTATGAGACCAATCCCAGATGCCCCTGTTGCATTCCACGGCAGCAGATAACCATTGTTTGCATTTTGTTCCTGGTGCCTCTCAGCTTCTCAGGAGGAAAAATCCTAAACAAAGGATTTTCCATAAAAGATGTCTGCGACACTTGTCCTTGAAAGTTGAAGCGAAAATTTTACCAGTCCTGGTGTTTTCTGACCCAAAGCTGTGGAGTTTTCCAAGCAAGTCTCATTGCCCTGGTGCAGGGTAGGGAATCAAAAAAGCCATTCTGTGCTCTGGGAGGTGGAGGCTCCCTTTTGGGAGATTGTTAACTTAATAATAATTAATTCAATCTATGAATAAAAGAGAATATTTCTAAAAACTCTTGGGTGACCCTACCTGGAGCCAAATCAAAACCCCACACTCAGGTACCCCCAAATTAAATGTCAGTGCAGACATGGTTTGGTCAGTGCAGATGTAAGTTTGAGGCTAACAAAGAAATAACTCTGTCATCTGATCTTCCTTCCAAAGATTATGCCTTGTGTCCCCAAGCCAAGTCCCACAGCAGGCTGGGACTCTGTGTGGCACCCTGGTAGGCCTGGCAAGGATCCTGATGGCCAGTTTTTGTCCCTTCAGCAGGGAGGAGACAGGGCAGCAGGAATATCCCTTGTTCCTCAAGTTTTTCCCCACAGAGTGAACCACCTTCTCTCAAAGTTGTATTAGGAAAAGAGCAGATGTGATAATTCTCCACCTGTCTCTTGCCTCATGGTCTCCCCAGACTCCCAAATAGGACTCCCTGAGAAAAAATGGAAGTGCAATAGGGCAAAACCAAAGAGGATTTTTGTCCATAGGGATGAAATTGTGTAAGCTGTGAATTCTTCAAGGTGTAATTACACTGGTAGGTAACAAAATATGCCAGCTGTCCCCTCTCTGACTTCCAGTGACAAGGCTGGCTAAAAAGCTGTCCTGAAATCAAAACTGACTAGAGATGATGAAAAGTGGGAAGAAAGAAGCAGTTTTTCCCCAAATCCCCTCACCTATCCAAGAAAGGGTGTCAGTGTTGAGCCTGTGTTATCCCACCACCAGAACCTGGGACCTCCTGCCCACCTACTTCCCAACCCTCCCAGCAAGCGGGGCTAACTTTTCCATTTCAGCGAGAATCAGGGTCCTTTTTCCGGTGATTTGATTCGGTTTAATGCCTTCTTACATTCCTAGAAATTTACATGAATGTACCTGTAGGGGCTGCGGGCGTCCGAGGCCTGGGAGGCCGCGGCTACCTGGCGTTCCCAGGCCTGGGGCGCGGATACCACCTCAAGGGAGACAAGAGGGGAGAGGAGAAGCTCTACGACCTCCTGCCAGGGATGGAGCTCACCCCCATGAACCACGTCACACTAAAGCCCCAAGGGATCAAACTCGCCCCCCAGGTATGTGACCCCAAAAAGAGCGGCCATGTCCCAAGGGGTGTGTTGGGAAAACGGGCCCCTCGTTGGATCTGCACTGCGGCCTGGTAAATAAATCTGTTCTTGTGTCTCAAAATCATTAAGAAATGAGCAGCACCATTGCATCTTGCAATATCCACCTGCCTCAAGGAGTTGTGGTTGGAGAAGACCTTTAAGATCACCCCTGAGTGTCAGGGGAGAGTTGTCATAAATGCCTTAATCCAGTTCTGGCTATCGCGCCATAAAAGCACTGTGGGTCGAGGAATTCCCACCCACGATGGGTTTGATACATAAAATTTGTCACCTGGGGCTTCACTAGGGAACAATGCACAAAAAATAGAAAAATAGTGTACATTTTCAAATAATTTATGGCAAAAGAAGTGTTGACATAATCCAGCCCAGCACAGAAACTCTTTGATTTGATTGTGTGTGTCGATGTAGATGGATGAAGAGGGCTGAGGAGAAATCCACAATAAATTCCCTGAGCTTCTGGGTGTCCAGCTCGGACAGTAACTGCTTTATAACCCTTATATTGTGCAGAGAACACAAGAAACCAACTTCACCCTGAATTTTGAAGCATGTCTTTGCCTTTTAACACTCCAATTGCCACAGCATCCAGTTTGCCAAAGTTTATGCAAACATCCTTGTTTTCTCCCAGAAAACTGGACAGTGGGATTTTTACCTCCTGCAAAAGTCCCCTTAGTCTATTTTGTCAACAAATCACAGAATCACAGAATGGTTTGGGTTGGGAGGGATCTTTAAGCTCACCTAGTACCAACTCGTGCCATGCATAGAGGCACCTTCCACTAGAAATCCCTGGAATGGTTCTGCAGGGCCTTAGGACAGGTGAAATTAATTTTTATAAAGCCAACATATAAAGGAGTTGGGACAGCAGGGAACTAGTATTGCCACAGTGAAAAAATGAGCTGTTGTAATTGAGAACTGAACTATGTAATGAAGCATTTTACACTGCAAGACGCTAAACTTCAGCTGGAGCTGTAGTGGCAAAATTAAAAGCAGCAGTGAGGTTTAAATTTTTCTTTTTAGTTTTAAATCCATTCAAAAGTAAGCTGTAAATGAGGTAGACCTCAGCAAGACTTCAGGGTGACCTAATTGTGGCCTTCCAGTGCCTGAAGGGGCTGCAAGAAAGATGGAGAGAGATTTTTAAAGGGCTTGGAGTGCCAGGACACAGGGAATGGCTTCCCACTGCCAGGGGGCAGGGATAGATGGGATATTGGGAGGAAATTCTTGGCTGTGATGGGGGTGAGGCTCTGGCACAGGTTTTCCAGAGAAGCTGTGGTTGCCCCATCCCTGGAAATGCTCAAGGTCAGGTCAGAGCAACCTGGTTTAATGAAAAGTGATCAATCCCAGCTGGGACAGCACACAGGCAGTGGGTTAAAAACCCCTGGAATCCCAAGCCAAAGCAGGAGTGTTTCTGGACCGCAATTCCCAATTACCATGGGACCAGCTGTGCCAAGGCTGAGGGCAACGTGGTTCAGCATTTCAAAAGCTGCAATCGCCTGCTGAAGCCCATGGAATTAATTGGATGGAAACAAAACCTTTTTTCTTTTTAAAAAGGAGCCTATTTGGACTTCTTGTGCTCGGTAACCCACTAAGCCAGAGGAGATGAATGCAACCCAAGTTTCTTTAGTCCTCTGAAACAGACATCCATGAGACAGAGCTTCTGAGGAGGATTCAAAGCAAACCATACTGAAATAATCTAATCAGCAAAAGGACTCAGATGCCCAAGTGAACAGGGAATAATTTCAGGAATTAAACAGATATTAATGTGTAATCTTACACTTCAAGCTGGGTGCAGTATTCTATCTGCCATTTATTTTGGATTTTTTGCTAAGCTTTGAGGAAGCTGCCAGAGCTCCCTGAAAACTCTTTGAGGGAAGACAGCTGCTCAGCCCAGGGGCTGGAGCTAGGCAAGGAGGCTTCTGCACAGCAATTAACCCCAGCACAAATCCCTATTATTTTTTTTCCTTCTAGATCTTAGAGGAAATCTGCCAGAAAAACAACTGGGGACAGCCTGTGTACCAGCTCCATTCTGCCATTGGCCAGGATCAAAGACAGCTCTTCCTCTACAAAATCACCATCCCTGCCCTTGCCAGCCAGAACCCCACCATGTATGTCATTAGTGGAAGGTTTCTGAAGCTTAGGCTTTATTTTTTAAATTCTATTTTACCTAACAGCTGTCCTCCAAGTCCCAAGCACACAGGTCTCCTTTATTAAAAAAATAGGTTTCCTTTTGGAGCAGGTTTCTTTTATTGAAGAAATAGGTTTCCATTTATTAAAAAAATTATTAAATATCTTTTACTATATTTATTGAATCTACATTTATTAAATATTAATTAAATGTTATTATTTTAATTCTTTAATTTTTAATTTTTAAATTTTAATATTTATTTGAATTTTAAAATCTATATTTATTTTATATAAATTTATCTTTATTAAATAATATATGTTTATATAATTATACATACATCTATATGTATATATAATTATATATTATATATTAGTATTATATATTGATATATTTATTTGTATTATATATAAATATATAATTATATATCAATTATATATGCATAGTGTATATACAAATATGTATATATTAAATATATAATATTATATGTTATATATTTAATATATATACATACTTTATATATAATATTATATATTATATATATTATAATATTCTATATATATGTATATTAATATACATATATATTAAATACTTTTTTTAAAGAATACAAGGAGAAAGACATCCACAGAGTATAATTAAGTGCTGTGCTTAGTGCTCTCTGCTGGTGCAAGCATCACAGAAAGCCAGACACAATCAGGCAAAAGGGTGCTTTTTTTGTACAAAAAGAAAGCAAACAATAGCCCTTGTGGGGAAATGAGAGGAATTTGAAGGAACATGCTGATATTTCAGCTCCAAGTATGATTGTAAACATTTCTGACCAAAACCACTCTTTGCTGTGTATTGTAAAGAAAAGCCCAGGCTGGGTATTGTAAAGAAAAAACGCAGCAGGGTTATTTGGGGTTATTTTTTGATGGAAAAAGCACAACAACCTCTGCAAGGAGGTTGTGTCCAGGGTCGGTAACCCCAGCGAGGGAGCAGACCACAGGGAGGAGAGCAGCTCTGGTAATGCACCTGCCCAGGGAAGCCACACTTCCATTTGCTGCGTGGGGTGGTGCCAGCTCTAAGCAGATCAAAAATGGGCCCCAAGAAAAAATATAAAACCTTACCTAGCACCCAAGAAAACAGATTGTCCTATCACCACCCCAAGGCTCCTAAGCAAGGATCCATCCAACATTGTGATCACCTCCAATCGCAAGCAAGTGCAGTGGAAAGACCAGGAGAACCTAATAACCCTGAAGAGCCAGATCTTTATACCTTCTCTTGTATTTAAAACTAAGTAATAAAAACATCTGGCAGGAAAGCCCAGAGGAAAGCAAACCCAGATAACTTTGTGCTATCACCATCCCAAGGCTCCTAAGTGAGGACCCATCCAACACTGTGATCACCTCCAACCGCAAGCGAGTGCGGTGGAAAGATCAGGAGAACCTAATAACCCTGAAGAGCAAGATCTTTATACCTTCTTTTCTGATTAAAACTAAGTAATGAAAACATCTGGCTAGGAAAGCAAACCCAGCTAACTTTGTGCTGTGCCCACAGACATCCCTTCACACCGCCCAAGCTCAGCGCCTACATCGACGAGGCCAAGACCTACGCAGCAGAGTACACCCTGCAGACCCTGGGCATCCCTGTGGAGGGGGCAGAGGTGCCTCCTGCAGCACCAGCTTTCCCAGGTATGGGCATATCTGTACAGCAAAAGGCTCCTGGAATGTCATTTTTCCTGGTGGCTCTTTGTGGGTGTGAGGAATGAAACAGGTTTTGGTCGCTGAGGACTGGCCTGGTTGTGCTCCCCCCATAGTGACTCATGTTGCTTGTGTGTCTGGCATCTTTAGCAGAGAATTCCAGACTGCTTTGGGTTGGAAGGGACCCTAAAGATCACATAATTCCACCCCCTGCAATGACAGAGACCCCTCCCACTGTCCCAGGGTCCTCCAAACCCTGTCCAGCCTGGCCTTGGACACATCCAGGGATCCAGGGGCAGCCACAGCTGCTCTGGGCAGCCTGTGCCAGTTTATTGCCCATAAAGGATTTTATCACAAATTTCTGTGTCCACACCCCAGAGCAATTCAGGTTGTGGGAACTGGGGTGGGGGGCTCTGCTCCAACCCCAATCCCTCAGAACAATGCCACAGCTGGGATTATGTCCAAGGGGGTCAGAGCAGTGTCCAGGGGCAGAGAACCCCAACATCCAGAGGCCCATCCCAGCTCCACACATCCCCTCCACTCCTCCCAGTTTGTGAAAACCTCCTTCAGCTGGGAGCCCCAGAAGCAACACAGGATGCAAAGCTGTCATCCCCAGTGCCACATCTGGCATGAGTCCCCTCCCTGGCCCTGATGTCACCAGGATGGAGGAGATCCTCCTCCCTGCAAGGCTGATGAATTCCTGGACTCTCTGTCCTCCCCCAGCACCCCCAGCCCCTTGGGATTTCATCTGCCAAAGAAATGATGCAGCCATGAAAGTTTGGATCCAGTCCCAGCTCCCACACCCCCACAGAAGGTTTTTCTCCCTGTTTGAGAATTTGTAGCTCTTGCAACTGCCCAAAACAGCTTGGAAAATCACGCAAAACACAGGAATTACATTTGCCGTGCTCTCCAGCATGACAGCAGTTCTGATGGAGAGGCAGCACCAGGTGCCAAGCTGCACATGAGGAACCCATTAGTCAGTACTACTGAGTTGTTTGGAGTGTCTCAAGGATGGATTTAAAGAAAAAAAATAAAACATCTATCCGGCTTCCTGCCACAGGAGTCCGCAAAAGCCACAGAAAAATCAATTTGTCTGGGCTTGTGCAGCTTCCGCAGCATGGAAACCAAATGGGCTCTTTATTGAATCCAGCTCCCACTTACTGCTTAATTAGCATCTCTCCTTTTCTTTCATCCACCCTTATTTATTTGTCTTGGGAGCTTGGCAAATGGACATGCACTAAAGTTGCTGCTTGCAGCACACACCAGCCCTTGGTCAGGGCTCACTAAAGCTCAGCTCAGGCCATGCCCAGCTCGCAGCTCATTTCTCTCCCAATGGTGGCAGCTGTGCCTTAGGTCCCAGATTTCTCAATTGCTGCTTGAGATGTTGCACCTGGCTTTGCTGGTGCAAAGAAAATACTCTGGAGAGCCACAATATTCAAATTGTAAGGAATTCATTGTGGTTTTTTTCCCCAAAGTGACACCTCCAATGAGGCAATGTGTGCTCCCTGTTGCCCAATATTTCCATTCCCCCACCAAGAGGACCTTGGCTCTGGCTGACCTGGAGTTGATCCCATTGCCCATGTGGTCAGACAGGATCCTGGGAGATGTATTTTGGCAGCAGAGCCTGCTCCAGCAGATCTAATGGATACCCCAGCTCCTCTTCCCAAATTGAGGCTTTGTCTTAATCCCTGATTCTTTAACAACAAAACACTGCGGTCTGCGTGACAAGCTGCTATGCCCTGCCTTCAGAGGAACATGCCCCAAATGATGAGTTTTCCCAGTGATTCACTCTCAAACAGCAACGCTTACATCTTCCCATGGAAAATCTGGAAGTGTCGAAACCACATTTTCCATTAGAAACCAATGGGAAAAAACCCAAAAAATCCCATCCGCTAAGTACTTGCTCCCTGCTGTTGCATTGAGAGGATTTCCCTACCATGGCTGTCCTGAACTGTCTGTATTTTGGTTATGAAGGGATCAGAGCTATATTTTCTTCAAGAATCCTGCCCAATTTTCTCCTCTTTAAAGGGAATTTACTTCAACCCATTTAAGGTTGTATCCTTGCCCTCCTCATGCCATATAGGGTGGACCTGTCCAGAGCACCATTAGAAATAATCAAAACCTGAGGAAAAAATATTCAACAGAGAGTGTTTTTCCAGCACTGTGTTTAACTAATCATGGGTGAGGAAATACTTTCATTTTCCTATTAATTAATTAATTTACATTATTCCCACTAACGAACTCACTGCTGCCCAAGCTGTTCCCACTTTAAGTCGTCCCATCAAAACCTACCGGGCGATTGTGAGTTTTGGATGGATTTTCATGAATCCACGGGTTTTCCTTCTTTTTTTCCTTCAGGATACACCATTGCTAACGCAGCTGCCACTGTCACAGCCACTCAGCTCAAGCAAGCAGTGACATTGGGACAAGATTTGGCCACCTATGCCACCTATGAAGCCTATCCTGCCTTCGCCGTCGCCGCACGGAGCGACGGCTACGGAGCCTTTTAACCAAATTCCCTTAAACCCAGCACAGGCAGGAAGGCAAAGAAAAGCAATCTCAGTCTGGTAATTCAACACCCTCATGATTTTAAGCTAATCTGTGGCCTAAGGTTCATTTTAGTTGGAGTTTCAGCCTTGTAGGTCTTTCATTTTGTAACAGGATGTTTTGTAATGGGGCAGGAAGGCAGGAGAAATTTTTTTTGAAATGGTGCAAAATCAGATTTTCCCACTAGAAAGCAAAAGCTCAGCCCAGGAAATGAGAGGTTCTCAGGTGTATATATATATATTTTTATATGTATATATATTCATACACCTATTGCCTGTGTGTTTACAAGCAACAACCTGTGCTGAAAACAGTTGGTCCTGTGGCTGTTGTGACCGGGACTGGGGAAGGATGGGGTGGCCCAGCAAACCCCTTCTGTGCACCAGGAATTCTCCTGCATCCACCCCAAAGTTTCCCAGGCCAGAGCAGAGGTGCCCCTTGGCCACATGAGTTTGCCTCTCCCTGCCCCTGATCCCACCAGCATGGAGCATCTCAAGGCTCTTTGAAATTCTTCTTTGCCAAGGCAAAAAGACATTTATCGTAAACATTTTTTGCCCAGCCCTAGAGGCTAATTTTTAACAGGCTTCTGTGCTAATTTTATTCTTAAAGCAGGGCACAAGAATTCAGCAGAGCTTTCCCTCTTACTTTGCTCCCTCCCAGCCATAGCCAAAAATCAGCAGTCAGTGTATTTTTGTGTGCTTCTCATCAAATGGCACATTCATTGAAAAATAGGCAAACTTTTAAGCCTGAGGAGCAGAAAAGTGCTATTCATTAAGGCCAATTCCCTACTTAATTAGAGCATGAGAGCTCACGGCCATGGCCCAGTAATAGCAGGCACCTCAACAGGAATAAAATTATATCCAAAGAACATTTTCCCAGGTTGGACAGAGCCCTGCCTGCCTTTACACATTAAATCAAGGTTGCTGTCTGCTCTGATTCCAGCAAAAATTAATTTAGTGGAAGAGGGATCATGCCAACAGTAAAGGCACCTCTTAATTTGGAGAGCACCAGAGTTGGTGTTGTGTTTGACCCCTTTGGGGATGCTGGGAGCATCCTTTGGTACAGCAGGGGCATCATCCATTTATTTTTGCCATGGGATCGAGGCAGGAGCAATGATGCTGTGGAGATACAGGAGGAATCCAGTGCTGGGTAACTACAGCAGACACATTAATCCTATATCATAAATCACACATGATGATGCACACTAAGAGAACTTGAATTTGTTCAGTCTAGGACCAAAAGGACCATTTGGGGAGGAAGAATTTCCAGCTGGGTTGGTGACACCCAGCAGATCTGGCCCCAGATTTTTCAGCTGCTTTAGATGCTGTGATGTGGCAGAGCAGAAGCCATTCAAAGGGGAGCTTTTCCTGTGCATCCCCCAAGCTGTGCAAAGCACCAGGGTCTGTGACAAGATGGTGACTGCAGCCACCAAGTGTTTCTCTCCTCTTCTGACTCAGTTTCCCCCGGAATGGAACAAACCCCATCAGCTGTACAGTCTGAGATCCCATTAGACCCCTCCTATTTATAAAGTAGCTCGTTAGGGTGACCCTAAAGGTATTACAAGCCCTCTGTGGCTGCTGCTGGCCACGTTTGGCTTTGCAGCAAAGGACAAACCTGGTCACAGAGGGCCAAATAACCGAGAGTGTTATGGATTTTGTGGCTTTGTTTTTTTTTTTCTCTTCTGTATATGTCTTTAAGTGGTGTTTGCCAATGAGGAAATATAGCCAGGAGAGTCTCTCAAACCGTTGGCAGGAAGTGTTTCTCACTTTCCATGTTCAGTGAGTTTAGTCTGCTTTTTCAGCTATTTATATAAGTTCAGAAAGATGTCAAAGCAAAGGGCAAGAAGCAGTATTAAAAATGTGTGCATGAAGCACTTATTTTTGTACGAGTAGTACAAGGTTTGTATAGAGTTTTAACACTGTGAAGTGTAGCGAAAAATCACAATTTCCATTTACTGGAGGACAATCGTGTATGTTTAAAGGGAATGAAGGGGGAAATGGCATCTCAATCATCCATTAAAAATTAGAAACAGGACTAAATTCTGTGAAGCAACTCTGTGATTTTGGAGTAATCCAAGGACATTCACTGGACTTTGAAATACCATTAAAACTTTTTAAACACAAGCCTCAGTCCTTCTATACATCTGTGATAAACAGGAGCACACTTTGCTCCAAAGGGATCGATCCCAGGTCACACTGGCAGGGGCACAAGCTGTTCAGGAGTTTTTTCCCACTTTGGTGACCCTCACCAAACACACACAGCAGAAAATTGGCATGTTTGGTACTTCTGCACTCCTTAGTGAAAAATCAAGGAGTTCTTGGCCTCTTTTCCCAGCACTTCTTTGGTCAGTAACCATTTACCTGTCAGTGCTACAGGAACTGGGTTTGCTGTGAATTTATTGCAGCGGTAGTTGTTTCTTACCTGATCCCTGTGGAGATTTTCTGGGGGGTTGTATCAATAGTGAGAAAACACCAAGCAAAAACAAGGGGTAAATGTGGAAATCTGTGATTTAGGGCAGTGAGGAATTGGCCCCACCTTGAGAAGAGCCTGTTGCCAGGCCACTGATAGATAAATCTTTGTTAAGATGAGGCCCTGCTCCTGGGAAGACCATCATAGCTAATTCCTGGCATGAGGGGTTCTGGGTTTGCACCTTTCCAGAGACATCCTAAACCCAAAAAAAGGGAGAAGCTCTGATAACAGGCCACTGATAACTGCTACTGATAACACAGGCCAAAGCCTCTCTGCCACTCCAAAAGAGATTTTGCCAAAATAGCTTGACACCACTCTTCCAAAGAGGCCAGCTGTACTCTAGGCTCCAGCAGCTCTGCCAGCTCTATTATTTCCCTCATTAGCTTTTCCTGATGCCCTGCTTTCATTTCCTCCAAAACCAGGGCAATGGAGAATTTGCTGTTGTGCTGTAACATTTCCCCCCTGGCACAACTGAGATTCCACTCTTTGCTCAGCAGCAGCTGCTGGTCAGTTTGGGAGAGCAAGGATGATTTTCCAAGGAATCTCAAACCCAACAGCCCAACTTAAAGAAAACATTATTTCCCATTTGTAAAGATGTGGGTTCCCAGTGGAGAGCAAGACAAAGCCAAAAACCATATCCACCCTCCACCACCAATTCTAAGACAAGTTTGAGGTGTAAGTGATGAGATCAATGCCCAGAAAAATCAGCAGACGGCCTCATCTTTGGCTGCTGGCAAGGCAGGGGGTACAAAAATTAAATTTTCCATCTCCCTTCTTCCAGCCAGTACCTTCCTGGAGGTCTGTACCACACAGGGCCTCTCATCTGAGGTGCAGAGTGAGAATAAAACATCTCTGAGGGTGACACCACTCTGTGTTTGGAGCTGGCCACACCCTGGAACATCCCACAGGGAAACTCCCATGTCCCACTGAAACCCCTTCAGTCCATGGGGTAATGTGACTTTCAAAGGGATCTGCCTGAGCTTGGAGCTTGCATGGCTCCCTTTTCCCAGCTTGATCTCCCAGGGACCATCTCATCTCATTGCTCCATCACATACCTGCCTGGATTTCCCCTTTTGGGGGGAAAAAATCCCCAAACCAAACAACCTTTGAAGGTGATATCCCAGTGAGGGGTCTCCAGTCCCTGCTGGTCACTGACTGGGGGCCAGCCTGGCCCTGGTGCTACTCGTGGTCTGATGGGATGGATGTTCCTTTCTTGTTTCTTCTTTGTTGTGTCCCCCAAAATCTCAGTCTTGGATAAAATTCCAGTTCTCAGCTGTCCTGTTTTAAGTGCTGGTGGGGGCTTAGACAGCCCCTGCCCACCAGGCCCTGTCCTTTGGGGATGCTCGGGGTGGGCTGCTCTCTCCCTGGACACCTCAAACTCCTCTCCTTGCCCAGAACCTCATCCTGGCCTGGTTCCAGCTACCCACAGGATTGTACCCATCCAGACTTGGGGTTGCTGAAGGAATAAACATTGGAAAAGTGACATTCCTTGGTCCCCAGTCCCACCTCGTGTATATCCAACCCTGGTTGTGGAGATGTTAAAAACCAGAGAGCTGCAGATAGACAGCACACAAATACCCTCTGTGGGATGCTGGAAAAGAAACCCAGACAGCCACAGCATCCAAAAAATCCCAAATCCTGCATTTAGGATTCTTGTAGGGCCTGACAGCTAAACAACTGTAAATGTTTAATAAGCTCCAATAATGTGCACCAATTTTGCATGCAATCTCCTTAATTCTACATAGAATCATCCAAGCCTGCAGAGGATTCTCCCCTCTCCCCCAGGGCCTGGGGTCAGATCCCAAATTAGCATCTCCTGATCCTGCTGGTGAGTTTGGGAAGGGACACGATGTGCAGGAGGGAGCCCTCGAGTCGTGCACAGCAGCTCGGGCTGCCGGCACAAGTTTCCCGAGTTCCTGGGACTTCACATCCCACGCCAACAAAAATAAAACAAAGGTGGAATTCTGCCCTTCTCCCCAGCACGTAGCAGGGCACAAATGGCTCCACGTCGAGGGGAGAGGGACGAGCAACTGTGAGGAGTAGTGAGTGCTATATTTAACAGCTGGCGAGGCGCCCAAATTCCTGGAAAATTCTTTTTTTTTTTTTTTTCCTAGGCTTTGGCTCGAGCTTGCTCTCGTGTAAAACAGCACTGGCACCTAGTGGCTGCTGGATCCAGGCACAGCATCCCAAAAAAGCGTGCAGGGAAGCAGGGAAGGGCTGCTGGTCACTGCCTGCCAGGAGCCACCATGCTGTTACAGAGCAAATAAAAGCAAGTTTTCTACACATAAAATACGATGAAAATCCCCCAAAAATTGCCCCCTAAATTCTGCCCACTAAACACAAGGTGTTTCACAAGGGGACCTGCTCTAGGGCACAAGGGGCTCTCCAGATATCCTAATTCTGGCTGTCAACACTCCCTCTCCCCTGCTTCCTAAAAATTCTCGTTTGGGGTCAGATGTTCATGGTTTAGAGGGTAAATACGTTCATGAGCAATTCAGCTTGGCTTCCTTAACATGTCCTAAACATGTGGGAAAAAAACCTACTGAAAAAAAACCCTATTAGTGGGGTGGCTGGAGAGGTTATTAGGGCAGGACATCAGAAGCATCCCCAGGGATTTGATTCCCAGTGATGTTCTTTCAAAGCTCTCTCTTTTTCCTGACTCAGTACTGCAACTGCTTTGAGCTCCTCCGTATGGGGATCTCTGAGACTGATTGCAGCTGCTTGGAAATGAATAATTCATCCTCTCCTACTGATTTTAAAGAGAGGCAAAATTATCTGATTGATGATTCTCTGAAGAATTAAGGAGATTGCATACAAAATTGGTACACATTATTGGAGCTTATTAAACATTTACAGTTGTTTAGCTGTCAGGCCCTACAAGAACCCTAAACCCAGACCTGAAATATGTTTTATTCTCCCTGTGGCCCCTGATTCTACCCCTTGTAGAGGGCAGAGGAGATTTTAGGGACTGTGGAGCTGTCCCCAGTTATGGCAGCACTGGTGGGAGGCAGCTCAGGAGGGACCTGCCACCAACACTGGGTCAGGGTGGTCATGGCTTTGTCCAGGCAGCTCTGAAATCCTCCTGGGAAGATCCTCTACATTCCTGGGGACTTTTTTGTGGTGACACCCTTTCAGCCAACACGTTTGGGCACTATCCTTGTGCCCTGCAATGGTATTTTCATTCTGTGCCTGGATGAACTCTTTTGTGGGTTGGAGAGGGACCACAAACCCTTCTGGTGACCCACCCGTAGGTGACTCTGGGTGGCCTGATGGCCTTGGGTCCTTCGTGATGCTCCAGCAAGGCAGGCTGGGGTCTGCTCAGGGCAGCCTCACCCACAGCTTTAACTCATGAATTCAGTTCTTACTGATTTCCATCTGATTCCCTCCAGGAGAGCCTATTCACCATCAATACACACAGGTTTAATGAGTAAAGAAGAATTTACATCATCATTACAACAAGAATCAGCCGAAACCTGGCCTGGCCAGGACAGAAACCACTTGACTGAGGAGACTCAGCTGCAGGGAAAAGACAAAACTTCCCAGGGAGTCAATCTTTGCACATCAAATGACAACAAGCAGCACTCGAGGGGCAACAGTGACCAAAAAACCCCTCCCAGAGCATCACGGAATCACCTGGAGATGGAGAGGACCCACAAGAGCCCAGACACCAAATCTCCTGTTTATTCCTCTAGGGAAGGGGGCCACCTATGGAGCTGTGATTTGAAATGCTGAGGACAAGCCCTCAAAGGGGACAGAGATGACACGAAGGAAGTTGACCCTCTTCTTGTAGTGCCCGAAGTAGCGCAGCCGGTACACGCCGGGCTCCGTGCCAGCTGGGATGTGCCACTCAATGGTCACGTTGCTCCGGCCACTGGTGCCTTTGCTCCAGTAAAACCTGCAAAACAGGCCCAAAACTGCAGTCAGCAAGGAAATGCAGGTTTCATTGGAGCTCACTGCGTGCCACGACATAAAATAAACTTCCCTGGAGCGTCTTAAAGTCCTCACTGTGCAGGGGCAGAGCTAAACTGAGAGGGTGAACATTCACTTAAATCACAAAATCTATAATTATTGAGCTCAGGATTTTTGGCACCCATTCCCACATCAAAAGCCCATTTTCGTTTACAGACTCCTTGTGCAAAAGCCTTTCTGTTCAAGCCCCAAAACTCTGCAGAGAAT